TGTCCCTAGTATCCGCTTCCTGAAGCTTCCAGCTTCGGATGCGACAGACCGACTATGGTTCTGTTACTGCCGTCCGGTAGCGCCAACCCGCGAACAAACCCCTAAATCTAGTAATTACTAGATAATGATCCGTTCCCAGGTCAGCACCCCTAAACACTCGTGTATCCATCACCTGTTTTCGCAGTCGGTCATCCACCAGGAACAAATCAATCATACTTCTGTCATTCTTTCTTTCTCTAGTGTACATATGGATTTTCCTGTGATTAAACATAGTGTTTGTCACAAGAAGACCCTTTTCCTTGCATACAGCCAGTATAAGCTTGCCAGCATCATTAACCCTTTTATCGCCAAACTTTCCAAGCACCGACTCGTATCCTGGTCGAGCGATACCTACCCATCCATTCAAATCACCACATACAACAGTTCTTTCGTTTCCCTTAACCAAATCTAGAACTTCTCTTACATTCTCCCAAAACTCCTCCAGCTCAGCCCTGGACGACGAAGCTACCGGCGCATAAACAGCCAAAAGGAATAACTTCGTCAGTCCCATTTTGAAGCGAACCCAGAGAAGTCTTGAGTTCACAACCTTGTATTCAATCATAAGATCGACCAACCGGGACGACAACAGCACTCCCACTCCCTGGCAGGCGTTCTCGCTTTCCGGGACTCCGGACCATATAGCTAACGTTCCGCCAGGGAGCTCTTCAGTACCACTGCCTTTCCGTTTGGTCTCCGACATACACACGACATCTAATTCTCTTTCTTTCATTATTTCGATCAACTCATTCGTCTTATCTCTTATGCCCCCTCTAACATTCCACGTGCCAACTCTGCACTCCGTCCTCCACCTTTCGCCGTGTCGGGCTATGCGTGACGGGTGGCGGTCCCCATCGCCGCTTTGCGCGCTGCATTCCACACCAACGGGGACGAGCTGGTGTGCGTCGCCTTGGGGGGGTGCCCTAACCTTTCGTTTGCATGGGTGCGCAGCTGTGTAGAATTGCAGCCCTGAAATGGGCTGGCAGGGGTCGCGACGAGCACGCTTCTACAATGACCCCCCTTTATCAGCTGATTTCAGGTAATTTAATTTTCACTGCTGGTTTTAGTTTTAGGCATTTTAATTACTTTTTTATGAAATTATCATTTCATTTAGCTGTAATAACATGATAGAGCGTGAAAAAAGCGAATTAAACTTTGTAAAAAATGATTTATTTTCATCGGGATTGATTTTTTTTTCTTGTCCCATCATCGAATGTATCGTTAGTTCTATCATCTGTTTTCGCTTTCGAGAGCGTTTCATAAGAATCCGTATAACGGAAGAAACAATCGAACTTAAATTACACCTGTTAGAAAGTGGCTACGGCAATCCAGGGATACCTGCAGGCAACTTTAAACAAGGAATGCTACAGATGCAATGTCACGTCTAAGGAACAAAATAGAATGCCTCACAGCATTTTACGTGGTACAGCTACGCTGCCGCTATGTTATGGTTGTAGCACGAATGGGTAGGCTTGACTGGGGTAGGACCGCGCTCTCACTGAATACTAACTTAAAATAGCAGCATATTATTGTTCTATAAAAAGAGCCTGTAATTATACTGACTCTCTATAAACTTCAAAATGGAATTCAACAGCGCGCACACACCTATTTAACGAAGTAAGAGCGAAGTAGATTCCTGAATGCTGTCTAGCCGAACAGGTAAAAGCTACCGGATAGGTAAAAGTAAAAGTTAAGTTACAGCTTATATACGTCCCACTGCTCGGCACAGGCCTTCCCTCATTTCTGAGACGGTTTTAGGGCAAGGAAATGTCCACCACGCTGCCCCAATGCGTGTTGGCGAACTTCACATGTCTTAGAAATATTTTTTTCTTATTCCTCAGACATGCAGGTTTCCTCACAATGTTTTCCTTCACCGCCGAACAAGTGGTAAATCAGCACTTAAAATTTCAGTTAACAATTTCTTAGGTGCCGGCGGGGATCGAACCCGGGTTACTCGCGTTGTGTTATATTTACAGCGAGCGTTAACCATCTGAGCTACCACGGCTCTTTCCGGTAAATGTATTAAATATTTTTTTATAATATGATATATCCGCGTAAGGAGCTTATAATAATCTTTTAAGATTAAAAACCATGGCATCTCCCAAAAACATCAAATAACACTAAATCGAAATATCGTACATCGTCTAACGTAATCCCCTTTCCTACATAATTTTTGAATGTCCAGTGAATGAGAGCTCCGTTGAACTATTTCTTAAATATGTTAGGTAGTTGTTAGGAGGTCTTATTGAAGTGGGTGATTTCTGAGCGTTCGGTAGTTTGAAAGCTACTTATGACTATGAATATTTATAACGTATTAGCTAAACGTTGCTCGTTATGCACCGCGGTTGATTTTCAAGGTACGTATAGGTGAGAAAGTTGTAACAACAAATATTATAATAATACGCAATTTATTTTTGAAACAATGCACAAAAAATTATATGATAATGAATAATATAAAAATACGGTTTAATAGGTGACCTTATTGGATTGATAAAGATAACTTCCAGATAAACGTCATGTAAGGAATTAAAACAATGGGGGAAATAATCACGTAATCTTCTCATAAGGAATATTTAATTATAATATATGAAAAAAGATAGGTCACTGTGTCTCATACACACCTGAAGCACATGCTAACATAGGCTGAACGTACGTTGGCACACCTAACAATAAGTATGCAATTTTTTTTTATTCTAAATGCATATTACGGAACTTACTATCGGTACTCATTTTTCCACATCGATAAAAATCTTATCAAAGACTTTTAGAAAGATGTAGACTTTTTGTTTTCCTTCAGACAAAATTCTACTCACTTCTAAATGGCCAGCAACGTTCCTTAAATTTCTCTTAAGATGTAGATTTTTGTGTATATCAGGTGAACCGCTGATAGGCTTTTTGCCTGAAAGGCGATAAATGTATATATAATGCTATGGCTATGAGGTCGATACTGAGACATAGTGTGCAGAAAAATTAAAGCCCCCACTTCAGAAGCTATTTATGTAGAATTAAGTTTAGTTCACAAGCTTAAGGCTATGACTAGAATATTGTTTAAATAGTCACGATAAAAGCTTCATCCCCAGTTTTCCTTCAAATTTATGTGGAATCATCCGTGAATATAACCTATGTAATAAAAAAGGAGTCGTTAAAATCGGTTCACAAGTGATGAAGATATCGCGTAACGTGGATATTCAAAAACATACAGTCGAATTAAGGAGCTCTCACTTCTTTTATGTCTGTATATCGGCTATAAACAATAGTTTAATTTAATATTTGTATGCAACAATGTTTGTAAAACTGTGTAGAGCCATGCTGCAGCTATAGTAGTAGTATAGTTGTAGCACTAATGGGTTGGCAAGACCGGAGAAGGACCACACTCTCGCAGAATGCCAGCGTAAAATGAAAACACAACGTTGCTGTATTTCGTATTTTTTCTGTAAACGAGGTATTTCATCTTAGTCCTCACGGGTGACAACACATCTCCATTCCGATTCCTAATCGAGGATAGATGTTGATGTCTATGGGCCACAGCAACCACTTACCATTAGGAAGACTGTGTGCCCGTTTGTCACCCCGATACTTTAGAAAAAATGTTAGAATAATCTAAGGCTGTTCACAATAATCATGCAGAATGACAGCGTGAAAAAGCAGCTAAATGCTGCCGTGAAGGATTCAATGTATCATAACATCCTCCTACCACCGGGTGCACCCTGTGCTCGTTTGTCAATATTATTATAATTTATAAAACTTTATGAATAATTTTTATGAATAACATTTTATAAATCAGATTTTCATGTGTATTATTGAAGCAGTTTACATAGTTAATTTCATCAGGAATAACATCCAGATCCAGAACAATTATTTGTAAGCCATACAAATACCCTTATTTTGCGCGGGATTCGAACCCGCGGCCCTCGGCACCGCAACTCATTGCTAAGGCTACCGAGATCTCGTTTGTTGATTTCGTCAAAGATGCCATTCCTTACTATTTAAGATTTTTGGAAACCAGGCTGCAAGCTGAGTCTGTGAGGGCTGCAAGGAGATTCTAATTTGCTACAAATTATCCTTATTTTTACAGTTGTAAAAGAGTAATTTAGTAAAATCTTATCAAAGTCATTAACGCGCATCCAAAACATTTTGGAAACGTCACATGTGGACATGAAAATTATGTTTTAATATTCACACGCCACTTGGTATCTATTATTATTGTAACAGCGAATCTCAAAATCACTTGAACACCAAAGTATCAAATCAAAATATTTGAATGACAGTAGTGAAAAGTTAAAATTACTTCATTTTCTTTAAAGTACTTACGAATTACTTTATTAAAATAATTATAACTCGATAAAAAGTGTAATAAAACTATTTTGTCAAAACAGTCTATAAAGGTGAATATTGCCACAGTAAAATTTCAAATAAAAATTTAAGTATTATAATGTATTTGTTTTTTAAAATATTGGTGCATTTAGAAATAAAACATTATTTTTTCGTATCAAAATTTATTTAGACTTATCCACTCGTTTAATAAGCGTTTTCATAATTTTTGACATTAAATTATTAAATTTATGTATTTCATAAATAAAATATATAAATTCAGTTACGAAAAATTGTTGAAAACAAATAAAAAGAAGTAAAGTAATACTAATATTTAAAAATTGTTGGTATGGTTTTGTAAGAAATATAATTATGTACCTCTTTCAGAATTTCACTATTAATTTAATCGCAACTAATTTACTAGCATCTTATTTCTTGTTTTTTTATACTTCCATCTGATCTACGTCAGAATTACTTTTACTGATTAGAAACTACCACTGCCATCCACAATTAAGCACTATTTTTGTAGAGGATACATAACGGCCAGTCTAAAGGTTGAAAATGACGACTAACATTATTAAATTGCTGTATTTTCAGTGTTCCTTTCATGAGTTTCATAGTTCCCACCGACTGTACCTACACTTCCCGTGTTACTATAAATTAGTGTTATGGTCGCCGCCGTAAGCCCCTGAGTTACCTTCATCGGTTTCCGGGTTACCACCTTCAGTTTCCGAATTACCATCGCCAACTCTGAGATTGCTACTGTTAGTTTCCATTTTATTACCACCACCAGACTCCGACGCACTACTGTCATTTACTGGAATGTCATTGTCATCTTCCGAATTGTCGCCATTAGATCCTGAGTTACCACTGTCAGTTTCCGTTTCGTTAACGCCACCAGCTACCGACTCACCACTGTCATTTGTTACGTTGCCATTGTCATTCCCTGAATTGTCACTGTCAGTTACAGTATAATTACCGTCGGTACTTCCTGGGTTATCCGTTGGAGGCGTTGTGGTGATTATGCTACTGGACTTTAGCTCGTCTAATTCATTACTTAATCTGTTTCTTTGTCCAGCTAGTGCCAATGTCGAAACAAATAAACAAAATGATAAAAGCCCAAGAAAAACTATCAATTTATTATTTAGCATCCAACCCAAAATTCGCTCAAAATAATATCTTAGTGACATTTTTATTATTTACACAAACAAGAGATTTCTCGGATTCGTCCTCTATTTTTCACGTTCGTGTTACAAATGACTTCGAAATATTATCACAATATTGGTTTATCAATTATTATTATTTTTATCAAAAGATAATATATAGATATCAATGTAAAGAGATAATGTATTTTCGTAATAAATCTATTTTATCTACTTCTGAAAATACAAAACGTACAATAAAATTATAATCAACTTTGCTATAAAGGTACATAAAACAATAACAACAATATAACATATAAACTTAAATTTTGCTGAATGCGCGATTTAGGAAATTGGAAGAAATACGGATAATGTTTACGAGCTCTATGCGTTAGAAAACTTACAACTAATAAATGTTTAAAATAAACTCAAAAAATTATGAAATTTGTATCAAAGCCAAATATCAACCGCATAACACACAGACACACACACACACACACACACACACACACACACACACACACACACACACACACACACACACACACACACAAACACACAGCCTGAAATTTTTCCGAAATTAAAAATTTAATCAAACCAATGTTTATTCATAGCCAAGTACATTAGCGAGGCCACTTGATAAGTAATCACCGCATCTAAATGTTAAAAGCAAACGATAAGATTATGAATTATCTATTGATTGGTTCGTCCTAGCGTAAAGAAGTTCAATAAAAACACAATGTAAGTTTTTAACATCCTAAGCGTTTTAATGCGATTGGTTTCGTTGAATTGTATAAATGTATCAGTGTTGAATAAAATCCGATGTAATTTCAAGTTATAAATTGTACCTTGTTGTATGTTGTCCAATTGTATCTTGGGTAAATCATTTAAGCGACGTTTCTCTTTACTCAATTGCACTGCAGATTATTTCAGAAATATTGATAGTTAGTGTTTGTTTTTTTAATGTTAAATGGAACTAATTTTACGGATCTGATCACGTTTTGCATTTAACAATTTCGTTGGTGCCGGTGGGAATCGAACCATGGTTACTCGCGCACTGTAACCACTGTACACCAAGCGCAAACCATCATTCTGAGCTACCACGGCTCATGGTATCACCATATTATTATGATCAGTACAAATATAATGTTATAATTTTCAACTCATTATGTGTTTTGTTGCAAACTTTCTACAATGTAGATTAAAATATAAAATGTAGCAAATCAAATTATAAATTTATTAATTTATTATTTAATACACTCCATATATAAAATGTAGCAAATCAAATTATAAATTTATTAATTTATTATTTAATACACTCCATATATTAAAATAACACTTATCTAACTATAGCAAAATAAACAAAGGCTCTAAAATACGACCTAAACTTTTATTCCATCATTATTAACCTTTCACACGTCAACTGCTGAACAAGAACCTCTTGAAAAAAATGCCACAGAACACGATCCTGAGCCACCTGCATGTATCGATTTCCTACATATCTTTTAAGGTTGTCACTCCATCTGTCGCCACCCCTACACTTCGCTTACCTGTACGTGGCTGACATTTGAAAACCATTCTTCCCCACCGGTGGTAGATTCGTCGAGCTATATGGCCGGGCCTTTGCTACCTCAGCTTATTTCGGTTATTATGATTGTGCTGCGGATATTTTCACCACAAATTCTCTTAATCAGTGACTCTGATTTAAATTAGTAATACTTTCAAATACCCGCTTGGCAGCTAGATGAGTGATTGCAGTAAGCTGTTGCTTAATGATGCTGCTTTCTACTCCTGGAAGTCTTAAGTCGCTTTACATCCAAAAAAAAGCCGTGCTAAAATTTGCAGACTAGTGAGGGTAAACAGTTTTATCAGTTTTAGAACATTGGCTTTGTTATCACTAACTTGAAGACCAGTATGGTGCATGTAGACAAATCTTTCAAAATACCTTTAAATGCATTCTTATAAAGATGTGTATATGTGTAATGTGATAAAAAATTAAATTAAATCTTTATTTGTCAGAAAACAACTACAATTCATTGAAGTGTCCGTTAGGTCCCACACTAGGCAATCCTATATCGTGGTTACTTATTAAGATCTACATAAACACAAAATAAAAACTAGTGTACAAAACAAAAATAAAACGTTGAATATATTTCTTAATAATAATTACCTTGCCTGTTTGTTGTGAGAATATTTTCTTGTTGAATTATAACTTAAGCTAGCCATAACATGGAGATACACAAGAGGGAGTAATTATAGCGTTTTATTGCGATACCAATCTGTCTGTCCTTTTTTGCGGGGGGGGGGGATCGACGTAACGCACATTTTCTCAGACTGCCACACAAAAACAATCGTTCGTAGGTACAAAACTCAAACATAACAATTAAAACAATACAGAAACAATTTCACACATACACACACAATATATACATTCTGTGTCATATCAGTGTAATGAAGTGACACAAATACATTGTCAAGTTGCATATCGTTGTGGCTGTAACAATCGTCAATATGCATTATCGATAAAAAGGTAGATATTATAGCAAAGATAGGACTTTATATATTACTAATATAATTCTTATCATTTAACAAATAAAATTGCATTAACATAAAGTATGCTAATATAATTTTGAAAAACATTTTAAAAACTTTTTTTTTTCATTTTCATAAGTTCTGTTTCTTCAACGCCAATTTTTTCAAGAACCATTTAACATTGATAACTTAAATGAGAAGAACAAGAACCATTTAACAATGTTAAATGGTTCTTGTTCTTCTCATTTAACAATAGTACTCGTTCAATGCACACACAGCAGCACACACTTTAAAATTTTATATTAGCCAGTCACATATTTAAACGTATTTGTTTGGATGATGATAGAAAATATATGAATATACGTCGAGCCATTCTGCATATACATTATGCTTGTGGCACAAATAGGTTGGTTCAACCAGGGAAGAACCACGCTCTTATATAATACCTGCGTGAAATAGAAGCTTGATACTACTGTGTTTCGTATGGTGAGTGTAGAGAACCGGAGTACCTTATACTGAAGGCAATCCATTTCAATCGTCTGCATCTGCATTTCGATGCTTAATGTACAATAGATGTAGATGTGTATCAATTACGGGTCACAGCATCCACTTACTCATCAGAAATGCTATGTGCTTTCTTAGTTCTATAAAAAAAGTTTCATTGTTAGCTACTAGTGTGTTAAAGGATTGTGAAGCCGTAAATTTTCATACAAAAATTGATAACGTTTTCCCTCCGTAAACATAGTCTTATTTTCATAATTTTTACATATACATAAACACTCACGCCTGTCACCCAGAGGGGTAGGCAGAGACTACAGACTTCCATTTGGCACGATCCTGACACACCTCTCTTGCCTCCTTCACATCCATACACCTACGCATACATGCTCGTCGGTTAAGGGTACTCCTAATTTGGCCCGTTTTCTACGCCAATTTGGTCGATAAATTTTTGCCTAGGACGTCCCTTTCCGACTCTGCCATTCACTTCTGCACCATAAATTTTCTTTGCCACTCTGTTCTCATTCATTCTTTCCACATGACCAAACCACCGAAGCATTCCTTTCTTAATCCTGGGCACAACATCATCTTGCAAACCACACTCTTCTCTTATTACACAATTTCTAACCCTGTCATTCAGATTCAGCCCTAACATACTCCTTAACGACCGCATTTCTACTGCGTTTATTCTACTCTCGTGCTTCTTCTGCCACACCCAACTTTCACTACCATACGTTAAAGTAGGGACCAACACAGCATTGTGAATTGCCATACGTGCCTTTTTCGACACATTTTGACTCTTCACAATAGAGTGCAAGGCCCCATTTACTCTATTTCCCGCAATCACGTCGTTATATATTCTTATCATATCTCCCATCCCTGCTAAATACGCAGCCCAAATATACAAACTCGTCTACTTGCCCGATCAACTCCCCTTCTATTCTTATTTCACAAATCGTTTTACTTTCTTCTCTTTCAAAAACCATAACCTTCGTCTTACTTGCGTTCACTTTCGTACCCCTTTCTTTTAATGATACGTTCATTAATGTAACCATCATTTGCAACTCGGCCACCGACGACGCAAGAATAACTTGATCATCGGCGTACAAAAGGCATTTGACGGTTAACTCACCCATTCTTAATCCGCATACTTCAACTTTCAAATTTTGCAAACAACTCCAACGTCCATAAATAGGTTGAACAGCCACGGGGAAGCCACACAGCCCTGTCTGACACCTTTATGGATGTCAAACCCAGTAGACCCCGTTGATCCTAACACAAGCACTAGAGTCCCTATAAAGAGACTCCAATGCCTGTGTCAAGCCAGCGCTCAACCCAAATGAGTTCAGTGTTTGCCATAGCAAATCCCTATCCACTCTGTCATAGGCCTTTTCCAAGTCCATGAACGCACAAAAAACCTTTTGGTTTTTGGCCAGAAACTTCTCCGCGATCATGCGCATGGAAAAGACTTGATCTGTACATCCCATTCCCTTTCTAAATCCCGCTTGCACTTCCCAAATTTTTTCATCAGTTTCTTTCATGACCCTTTCAATCAGTACCTTAGCATACAGTTTTCCCACAATGCTAAGAAGGCTGATTCCACGGTAGTTTTTACAGTCCTGCTGCGACCCTCTTCCCTTATATACTGGGACTATCACAGCTTTGCACCAGTCTACCGGTACCCGCTTCAGTTCCCAGCATAAATTAAACAAGGTGTGCAGCAGGCCTGCCACCACTTCCTCTCCAGCCCTAAGCATTTCGAGTGAAACTCTACCATATCCGGCAGCCTTACCTGCTTTCATGCTTTTCATTGCTTTCATTATTTCATCTATACTTATCTCGCTACCTCTTTCCTCTTCTTTCGGTGTTTCTACTTCACTTAGTACACACGTTGTCTCCTCACTCATAAACACGTTTTCAAAATATTCCTTCCATCTCTTTAAACTCAAAACTTCATCATTCGGAATATAGCCATTCTCGTCTCTTATAGCATTCATCATAGGCTATTTTGAATGTCC